TTAGTTAGTTTGGACAGTGTTGCACATGCAACCCCGCTCTCGTTGTTGGGTATTTTGCTAACCCACCTGAGAATTGGACCCTCACCCCTGAGGGCATCTATTGGAGCATGACATTATCCCAGTTCAAGAAGACAAGGCAAAAGCACGAAGAGCATGCAGAGCTGGGATGAGAGATAAAGAGGTCCTCAGGCCTCCTCCTGGTTTTTTGCTTTTGCTGTCCTTGTTTATGAACTGATCTAATTGCCAGTTGGTGTTCCTTGCTTTCAGTGCTCCAGGGGTTGAGGTTGAAGATGTGTTTGTCTGCATTTAAGTTTGCTAAACAAATACTTTAGGTTTTCATTTAAAAAGTGATTCTCAATAATTACCCAATTCTCCTTTTTCCCCCTGGATCGTTCCCAACTTTTCAAAAACAAAAACAGCCATGTAATGGACGACAGTGCAAAAGCCGAGCATGCATTTGGGATTTGCCGCTTTGCTAGGCATCTCTGTTTGATTGTTTTACATGGCGCAGTTTGCTAGCCTTACCCTTCTGGTTTGCCCAGATAAAACAGGGATTGCCACTCCTTCAATCTCTGCTCTGATACTGGCAGAGGACTCACTCGGAACCTTTCCAGCGCCAGGCGTTCCAGCCCTCGCTTATCATACAAAGCTATTCAGTGGCCTGATGCAGAGAAAGGCAGGGCTTTGGTTCATCTAGCCCAGGCACAGATTGCCTGAGTTCATTTTAACTGGAGATGCCAGGGATCAAACATGGGGCATTCTGTATGCAAAGCAGCTGCTCTCTGCAGCCATGACCTTCCATCTGGGGAAAGTTCAGACAATCCTTCTACGTTCTGGCAATGAGAAAGTTGCAGAACTTGTGGAGTTTTCAGATGGGAACTTCCAGTAACAGAACCATTAGCTGGGCAATATCTGGAGGGTGCAGAGTCTGCAAAGGGGTGCAAAGCTGCATGGATTTGGTGCAACAACCTCACATTGTATGTTCCTACTAATGTTCTGATCTGCTGTTTGGATTGGTGACCATCAATGTGCTTAGCAGCCTAGTCCTTTTGGAGCTGTCAGGTGTCAGGTTAGTGCTCTAACATCTCCAAAAACAAACCAACAACCCTCTCCTGCAAGCAAGTGCCTTTAACAACTGTCGTCACATTTCCGGAGATCCTGGCCAGCCCACTCCAGCTGTGGAAGGTGCTCTGCTTTGATGCCAGAACCCAGGTACCGTGTCGCACCTAATCTCTTGACCATCGCAGGATATGATTCCCATGGGAATCTGAGAGGTACAAAGTTGAAGACATGAATTACTAGGCTGGGGAGAAAGGAAACAACAGGCAGAAAAGGGACACAACAAACTGAAATAAATTATTCTTTAAAAAAAAAAAAAGTAATCAAAGGGAGGTTTGGAGTAAAAGATAAGAGGGAAGACAGAAAGGGGTGAGCATAAGGGAGGGAAAGAGAAATGAGCCTGGAAGAGAGAGGGAAGGGGTGAAAGCTGGAAGATGAGAGCAAGAAAGTTGGGGGGGGGGTTGGAGGTGGCCACCCCACCACCAGCCACACACCCAGTGCCTATCGGCCCTCTCCATCGCATTAGCCCAACATCGAGTAGTTTTTCACCAAGATTGGAGTGATCAGGTAGTCTGGCCCTTGCAGCTGCTGCTAGGCTGGTGAATAAGCACCTGCTTATCTCTGCCCAACGGCTGTGAGCAGCTACAGATTGTGTTGGGGATGAGGTGTTGGCTGTGCACTGCAATTTCCATATCAGTACCCTGCAGCCGCTCGAACCAAATAAACACAACAGCCACGTGGACAAGAGGTTAATTATCAATTTTCAGAGAGAGGAAAGAGGAGGGGGAAGCACGGGGGGGGGGGAATGGCAGGGGCAAGAAAGGAAGTGCCAGACCAAGTGTGGATTTCTGAGTGCTGGTGCAGGGGACCCCGTTGGAAGTGGTGCAAAATTGACCCTTCACTGGGTCCAGCTTGGTGCACCAGGCTGGTGACTAGCAGAATATTTTGAAATGAGTGGGGACTTCTCCTTTCTCCACATCATACATAATTCTGAACACCTCTCCCCACTTTTTATCTACGCAGAAAAGTCCCAAATGTTGTAACCTTCCCTCCTAAAGGAGTTGCTGCAGTCCTTGGTCATTCTGATTTCCCTTTTCTGAACCTTTTCCATCTCTACAATATCTCCCCCCCCCCTTCAGGTGAGTGGCAACCAGAATTATGCACAATATTCCAAGGGTGGTTGTGCCATTATTCTAATGGCATTATGATATTGGCAGTATTCACATGTCAAGTCATGCCCTCTCCTTTTTTTCTTAGCCACAAATTCTTGACACAGTCTGTGCAATTTGAAATCAAGTCTGTTTTCAGTGGTCCCCATTGAATGGTCCTAAATCCATCCGCTGCTGGAGACGTGTTGCTGCATACTCAGGCTTCAAAGGCTGGACTGTGAGTTCACAAAGGGAACGAGTTCCTCCGCAAAGTTCAGGTGGCAAAGTTTGCAGCCTCCAAAAGAGACTTGGGCTCGTACTGTGCCTTTTGTTCACAGTCAGAGGGAACCTGTCAAACTGGAACTCCGGACTGGATGGGTTGGCATGTAAGGAGGCTGGTGAATAGGTGGTCTCACCTTAGGGACAGAGTTCAAAATGTATAAATGCTTGCTCCCTCCCTGCTCTAGAAGTTAGGGCTGGTTCACAGGTGCATTTCCACCACTTGACAATTGTCAGCAGAATGTGTATACTGACTACAGTATTAAAGAACATTGGTGTACACCTGAGGTCGCCCTCCCCATGGCTATGAAGAGCCACAATGGCTATATTTTGTCTCCATTGTTGGATGCCTCTGAATGCCAGTTGCTGGGAATCAAAAGTGGGAGAGGGCTGTTGCACTCTGCTTGTGGGCTTCCCATGGGGATCTAGCTGGCTACTGTGAGAACCAGATGCTGGACTAGAGAAACCATTATAGTCCAATAACATCTAGAAAGCACCAGGTTAAGTACTTAAGGAGAGCCCTGCTGAACTCCCATTACCCTCTGACCCTGTAGTCTGAAACATCTGGAAGGCACCAGGTTGGAAAAGGCTGATCTGAAGTGGCATGAAAGTTCTCCATCTGGTAAGATAAAGGTAAAGGACACCTGGATGGTTAAGTCCAGTCAAATTTGACTATAGGGTGTGACGCTCATCTTGCGTCAGGCCAAGGGAGCCGATGTTTGTCTGCAGACAGCTTTTCCAGATCATGCGGCCAGCATGACTAAATCACTTCTGGCGCATGAAACACTGTGATGACTGTCAGAGTGCACAGATATGCCATTTACTTTCCCACCACAGCGGTACCTATTTATCTACTTGTACTGGTGAGCTTTCGAACTGCTAGGTTAGCAGGAGCTGGGACAGAGCAACGGAAGCTCACCTCGTCAAGCGGATTTGAACTGCTGACCCTGCAATTGGCAAGCCCAAGAGGCTCGGTGGTTTAGACCACAGCACCACCCATCTCCCTTCTGCCTCTGGTAGCTCATGCATACACATGTGTGTGAGCCCCTCTGCCATGCTGCAGCTGTCCCAGTGGCAAACATTCGTGAAAGCCAGTGTGGTGTAGTGGTTAGAGAGTCAGACTAGGAGATGGAAGACCAGGGTTCAAATCCCCACTCAGCTATGTAGCTCACTGGGTGACCTTGGGTCAGTCAGTCTCTCAGCCTAATCTACCTCACAGGGTTGTTGTGAAGATAAAATGGGGAGAATGATGACCACACATGCCACCTTGAGCTCCATGGAAGAAAGGCGAGACAGAAATGCAGTTCAATAAACTAAAGTAGCTTTGAGATCCCTTCAGTTGCCCAGGAAGGCAAGGCTAGAGTAACCATCTTCACTCCTCACCATCACAAAAAGCTAGCTTGCCAAGGGTTGTGTAGAGCAGCCTTACAAAACCTGGTCCTGGTTGGGGCTGATGGGAACTGTAGTCTAAAGCCAGGCTGACTGAAGCTGATGGGAGTTGTAATGCAAAACATCTGGAGGGCACAAAATTGGGGGATGCTGATTTGGAGTGTGTACATGTGTGTGCTACCCAGATTTGCTCTGTCTGCTTCCTCCCTCCTCTAAACCCCTCACAAGAGTGTCCTTGTCCTAGTATAAACGGGGTCTGTAGCAGATAAGAGCGAGGCAAGTGCTTTCCTCACCTCGTCTTCTGCCATCCGGGATGCTCATCTCTCAGCACACAGACCACCCTCTTATCATCAAACCTCTGCGGGATTTATGTCCCGTCAGGCCAAGGGTCACTGATAGAGAGGATGGAGGACACAGATGGAACAAGGTGCTCTGGCTTCTGAAGCCCCCAGGCCTCCTGAAAGAGAGATGTGCCTTAAAGTTGGCTGGCAGGGCTTACATTATCTCTTGAGTGCGGCTGCTTGGCTGGCCTATAATCCTATTGCTCTGAGTGTCTGAAGAACCCTCCCTGCCTTCTCATCCTCTCGCCTCTCTAGGCCAGAGATGAAGGAGTAATAAGCCATTAAATGGGGCTATGAACCTTGCCTGCTTTCTCGCCACCGGGAGAGCTTATTGGGGCAAAGGTCCGTCGTGCGAGCCACTAAGCTGGTTACCTTTTGCTTCTCAACAGGACTTTCTTTTGAAAGAAGGCATTGTGTGTGTGTGTGTGTGTGTGTGTGAGAGAGAGAGAGAGAGAGAGAGAGAGAGCGCTTGTGTCCCCTTCACCTGTAACTCTCTGGCTCATCTTCTCCCATGCACACAGAAGGGTGTAAATGACAGTCCAACCCTTTCTTAGACACAAATGTAGTTCTTCCTTCTCCTTCGTTTGCTACCTGCCTTCTATTAATTCTCTCGGGTGGGTCCTCCCTAAGGCCTTTCCTCCTTAGTGATGACAGCCCCCTAAACTAATTGTATTAACTGGAGTCCAGAGAGCTTACTTCACCTGGAATAAATGAATGGGCCACTACTTATTATTTATTTTATGGGTAGAATTGAAAGAAAGAGAGAGAGAAAACACACGAGGTCTGGATAGCTCAGTTAAAGCGTGGTGCTGATAACACCATGACTGCAGGTTCGATTCCCGTATGAAAAAGCTGCATATTCATGCCTTGCAGGGGGTTGGACTAGATGATCCTCAGGGTCCCTTCTGACTTTACGATTCCATGATTCTATGGCTTGCATGTATGAATGTGCCTTCACTGATTAAACTGCTGTAAATATCTGTACATGTATAATACATGCAGTTTATATAACTTAGAACTGGATGGTGAGGTGGGAGGGATCAAGAACAGTTCGTGTAAAAAAACAAATCCCCCCCCCTCTCGTAACACCAGAACTCCTAGACATCCAGTGAAGCTGAATATTGGAAGATTTAGGACTGATTCTTTCTAATCCTTTTTAAAAGCCATCTAAGTTGTGGTCATCACTGCCTCCTGTGAAAGCAAGTCCCATAATTTAGCTATGCGCTACATACAAATGGGCCCCACAAGCTTTGCACGGGTTCAGGTGGAGGCTGAGATCATGGGATCACGCCATGAGGATTGGTTCTGGAAGGTGGAATAAGAAAGAGTCAAAGACCAGGGACAGGCCATATAGTTTACACAGCAGATGGAAGCATCTGATTGAAGTGGACAGAGTTTATGTCTGCCACTTGGATCAATAAGGGAGTTGTGTAGTTTGGCTAATAATAAGCCCCTGGCTTCCTTTTGCTTTTCTCTCATTCAGCCAAACTTAAAGACCTGGGAGATGTGGGTCACTTCCAGATGGCCTGCATATGGAACGTTCATCCAGATTCATTTGCACCAAGGTTTTCAGGTGTTTGCCTGGTGTTTACCAGGTTTGTTTGCAGGGAGGCGAGGCAATTTCTATTCAGCAGTTGTTACCCTACATGTTCTAGTGCATTTTCCTTACAGGAAAAAAAGCCTGCTTGGGGAGAGCAGATTTGTTGTGCAAGAGCACCAAAACAGCTTTAGTTGCTGAATTTAGACAATTTCATGGAGGAGAAGGCTATTGATGGCTACGAGCCATGATGGCTATACCCTGCATCCACGTTTGGAGGCAGTAGTGCTTCTGAATACCAGTTACTGGTATTCAGTTTCCCACAGGCATTTGATTGGCTACTGTGAGGACAGGATGCTGGACTAGATGGGACAGTGGCCTGATCCCACGGGCTCATCTTATACATTTGTGACTGAATCCCACCAGAAAATGGAAGGGCCCCTATGGTCTACTGCCCAGACTCACGATTTGCAAGCAAAGGCAGCACAATACTGCATGCCCTTCCCTTCAGAGGACAGCCTCCCCTGCATCCTGCTCATTGTGGTATTCCTGATTAGGGATTAAATTCAGGAAAGGGTGGCAATGGTTAGTTTTTAATTATCCTTGGTGTCACAGGCACTGTCCAATAAGAGCCCCTGACATTTGGGTAATCCTATGTATTCAGTATTCACAGCTGAAATGGTGGTGGTGGTGTTGCAGTTCAAATGCTGTGGAAATGCAATAATCAAGCAAAATACTTGAATGGATGATTTGGGAGAAAGAAAGAAAGAAAGAAAGAAGAAAATGATCAGTGGTGGAAAGCTTGTAAACCACTCTAGGCCGCTAGCAGGGGGAGACTTTGTTCATCTTTTGTAATATGCTGCTCTAAGTAAGGCCAACATGTGGCACTCCCACATGGATCTTCTCAATTGTGGGATCTTCACAAGTTAGCTACTGGCTTGCTGGTAATGTGGAGGAAGAACGAGCACCCGCAGGGGTGGAATCTGCAGAAATGCATGTTAACAGAACCATAAAAACTCGCCATGCTTATACATTGACGTAAGACGAGCCTGTTGGATCAGGCCCATCTTCTCTGGCATTCTGTTCACCACAAGGACCAGCCAGATGCCCATGAGAAGCATGCAAGCTGGACATGAGCACAATAGCCCTCTCCCCACCTGCAAATCCCAGCACCTGGTATTCAGAGGTATGATGCTTCTGACAGTGGCGTATAGCCATGCCTAGAATGCCTTCCCTGACCTGGGGCTCCCCAGTTGTTGTGGACTGCAACTCCCCATGGCTCCAACGTCATATGGCCATGCTGGCTCATGGCAGGGGGACACTGATAAGAGCTGCAGTCCAAAACAACTGGAGGACACCAGATAGGGGAAGGATGGCCTAGACAGAGGAAGCAAAGAGTGGCTAAAAGGCATTGAATAATCCATTTGGCATCTTAGCAAGGCATGATCTGGGATCTTGTGTTTGCAGAAATGCAAAGTCTTTCGACATTTCCATTTGCAGGTTATTTCAGTTGATAACTGAAAACGACTCTGACTGTTTTGTTTTCCATTTGTTTTCTTCTCCTTTCTTTTTTGTTAACAGGCCTGCTGGTGGTGGTTGGAAGTGTCCTCTCTGCCCATCTGTCTCTCTTCAAGCTGTCCCTTGCAGCCAGCACTGCTTTTCCCCCACTCTCTTCTTAACCTCAAGTTTGTGCGTGTCTGTGTGTGTGTGTGTTTGGCAGAGTCCCTTGCAGCTGGTTCCCTAGAAACTTTGCCCAGAAGGCACAGTGGCTCCCTCCCAAACAGCAAAAACCCCTGGCTTTAGATGCTCAAAACAACCGACTAAAAATAATCAGAAACCCGAGGAGCGTGTGAAAAACCCTGGAGCCTGTGGGCTTCCTCCTGCTCCACCCCCCCATCAATCCATCTCTCTGGTTCCCCCCACCCCCACCACAGTTTCCCAGACCCGTGCAAGGAAGCCTTGACTTGCCTTGCTTTGCCGCGGTCTGACCCTCCACTTCCTGCCTGAAAGCTGCATGTCTCTTCTACACCTGCGCTCTGCAATCAGTTCACATCAGCTCCTAAATCTAACCGAATCCAAAAATATTAAAACCAGGGCCCATCTGTTGTCCAACTGATCAGAGCAGATGTGCCGAGGATTTCAGAGGCTGGCTGGCAACCATTCAAAACTGTCAGAACTTGCACCTGCCGCACCATTACTGTTCCCCTTTTCGATTTAATCCCCTCACTCTCCCTCCTCCCAATTTTGCAAAGAAAGGGAGGGGGAAATCCTCACCCCCAACCAACCAACCAACCCCCACCCCCCAAGCTAGCTTTAGGAGATGTGTATCGTAAACAGATCTAATCATCCCCCCTCGGACATACTGATGCTGTTGACAGCCTATTGTATAAACACGAACAGGCAAATATGAAAATACGCTGGGGAAAAGAATATATGCGCCAGAAATGCGGTTCCCCAAACCCCACCCCAAAGTAGACGTACAGCTGTTAGGAACAGGGATTGTCACTCTCGTACAGATGCAACAACACTTGTAATACCAAGAGCGTCTGCATGTGCTGGGAAGACAAAGGCAGATACATAGGCCCGGCATTTGCTCAGCACTGCTTACTGGGGATTTGAACATGGAATCGTGGAATTGTAGAGTTGGAAGAGTTCCCCAAAGGTCATCTAGTCCAACCCCTTGCAATGCAGGAATCTCAGCTCAATAATCCCCGGCCATCGAATCTCCGTTTAAAAACCTCAAGTAAAGGAGAGCCTTCTGAGGTGGTCTGTTTCAATGCCCATCAGCTCTTAGATTCCCCCTCTTTATGTTGGGAAGGAAAACGCTGCGTCAGAAATGGCTCAGTGATCCAAACACCGCATTGCTGGAAAGGCTCTTCTCCTGAAAGATCTGTGAAGCTCACCAGGGCTCCATCAGCTCCAGCCTTTGAATAATTCCGCCATAAAAGCAACTGTATGCAAATAACACCCATTCCCTTTGAAAGACTCAGGGCTCATCCAGAATTCCTTTTTGCTGAGTTTCAAGGCAGTGACGCAGGTCTGGGTTTTAAAGCTCCATGTCCATGAGAGGGGTTTTTTTTAATGGAAAACCCGATGGCCATTTGCAGTAAAACGTGGGTTTTCCTATGGAAAGTGCCAGGATTGGGGGGTGGGTGATGCTCAGACACAGAGCTTTACAGTGCTGACCTGTGCCTGGAAAGCAGGGTACAAAAGGAAGTCTGGATGAGCCCTAAACTATGCTGACCATGACATTTTTCAATGGCACCTTTTGGCATGGCCTTCCCCTTGTGGCTCAGCAAATCAGTGCTGCCGGGATCAACTGAAACTCACCCGTCCGAAGTCCGCCCTGTCTCTCTGCCAATGGTTCCATGGGAAACATCATTCCTAAAAGGTTTCTTAGCATGCCTGTGACAGAGCGTTTCCCCTGGGTTCCTTGAGGAATGTGCTGGCTATTAAACCAGTTTCAATCTAGCTTTGGTCAATAGTGTGTACAGGAATAAGACTGTCCACTTCAAGTAAGGCCACGGGCATGTTTAAAAGAAACAAACTTGCACGTTTCAAAAAGGGACTATCTAACCCAGATCGAGGTGGGCAGACAAGGCATCCTTGTTGCCAGACAACTCAGGCTGCTCTACTGGTGTGGGAGCAGGTTCTTCAGGGTCTCTAACTGCACTGGAGGCCACTGCAGGCTCCCACCCCTCATCCTTGAGAGGGGTCTCCCTGGGGTCATGATCAGGCTGGACTCTGACACCAAGGCTCTTGATAGCTCAGCTGTACATTTGGCACCTGGGTGCAGTTACTAGCCAGCTGACATGCTTGGGAATATTCCTGCATTGCAAGAGAATGGACTAGATGACCCTTCCAATTTTACAATTTATGTCATCCTTCCCCTTTCAGCCAAGGACATAGCTAGCACTGCAGCCTTGCCCCAAGTCTGTCCATTGACCCATCTAGTTCATTATTGTCTACTGGCAGTGGCTCTCCAGGGTATCCAATAGGAGAAATTCCCTGTCCTACCTGGAGACACTGGGGATTGAACCTGGGACCTTCTGCATGTAAAGCATATGCATTTTACCACTGAGCCATGGCCCTTCCATCTTGAGAGGCTAGTTTGTTTCATGTTAGCTAACAGGGCAGCACACAGAGAGACAAATTAAGGTGACTATTCCCCCCCCTTTTTTGTGATTGCCTGGCGGGGAATCCCTCAGCTCAGATGGTGACCCCGTAACAATCCCACAAGCCCTGAAGTGAATAAATGCCAATAATCCCCTTTTAACGGCAGCCCCTTGTGGGGAGGGGGATTAGAAGCAGGCCCAGCAGTGCTAGCCTGTAGGGTCTCCCCTCTGCCAGTTCTGCTGTGTGGCCATACAGATATGCCATCAAGAACAGCTCGTGGCTGGACCTGGTGGTGGCCACGCCATCTGAAGGAGCCCCGTGTGGTGCAGGATGATTAGGATTAGCTGCCCTGGGGGGTGAGTTGAGAGAGAGAGGTGATCATGATGGGGCCCTTAGGGGATGGAGAGGGATTAGATTTCCTCTGGCTTTCCAAAGGGGTTTCCATCTGCACATATGGCCATGTGCTGCCCTTCTGCCCAGGAATAAAAAAACATCCAATGAGGAGTTTTGCTGTCGTTTGGAAAGGCCTCAAGGATTTCAGGTCCACTCAATTTGGGCAAAGAGAAAACGTAAGAACGTAAGAAGAACCAGCTGGATCGGGCCAGTGGCCCAACTAGTCCAGCATCCTGTTCTCACAGTGGCCAACCAGATGCCTCAATGGGAAGCCTGCAGGCAGGACTTCAGCACAGGAACACCCTCCCCTCCAGTGGTTTCCAGCAACTGGTATTCAGAAGCAATACTGCCTCCAACTTTGGAGGCAAGGCATAGCTCTTGTGGCTGTTGTTGTTGTTTAGTCGTTTAGTCGTGTCTGACTCTTCGTGACCCCATGGACCAGAGCACGCCAGGCACTCCTGTCTTCCACTGCCTCCCACAGTTTGGTCAGACTCATGTTTGTGGCTTCGAGAACACTGTCCAACCATCTCGTCCTCTGTCAACCCCTTCTCCTTGTGCCCTCCATCTTTCCCAACATCAGCGTCTTTTCCAGGGAGTCTGCTCTTCTCATGAGGTGGCCAAAGTATTGGAGCCTCAGCTTCATGATCTGTTCTTCCAGTGAGCACTCAGGGCTGATTTCCTTCAGAATGGATAGGTTTGATCTTCTTGCAGTCCATGGGACTCTCAAGAGTCTCTTGAGGCTAGTAGCTCTTGTGGCTAGTAGCCTTCAATAGTTTTCTTCTCCAGGAATTTGTCCAATCTTTTAATGCCAACGAGGTTGGTGGCCATCACTGCCTCTTGTGGCAGCGAGTTCCAGAGTCGACTTTGAAGAAAGCCTTACTTTGATCTGTACTGAGCCTTGCAACCCTCCCCTCCACACACCTCTCTCTCCAGCCTGGCAAGGAAGAGGCATGGCCACAGTTTCAAGGACTCACTCAAGGAAGGTGCAGGGCTGTGGTGAGGGGTGTGGCCTCACAAGGGGGTTGAGCCTAGGGAGAATCCCCAAAACTGAGTTTATATAAAATCTCCATCTGGGCAAGTGTGCAAACTTCAGAACAACTAGTTTAGGGGTGTGAAGAGGCAGCAAAGCCTGTTATTACAGGAGAAAATGTTAGATTCATGGTATGAAGCAGTGCTTCCCAAATTGCGGCCCTGGAAGCATAAAAGACTATCAGCCTTGGAAAAACTGGTATCATTGGATCAAGTTTTAACTGGATTTTGAATAAATGTGCCTTTAACTGTTACTATTTTGAATTTTATCGTGTTACTAACTTTCTTAGTGAGTTGTGCAAACCGCTGTTCTGAATAATGCTTTCTATAGCACAGGGTAGAGGGCACTGGGGATGTGTTAATGAAACCAATGGCCCCCAAAAGTTTGGAAACCCCTGCTATAGAGGATCTAAAATTATGGTTGTGACTGAAACCTTGGGGTGTGATTGGGGTGGCAGGAAATATTGAGGGGAGCAGCACTAGCCCTTCTGACCAATTGTAGTCCCTGTGCAAACACCACATTGAGGGCATTAGCAAATAAACCCACACACTTTCCTCCAGGCTTGCTAAACCCCTCAGGCTGCACTAGAGTTCTGTAACTGCTCCTCTACAGTGGACATCTGCTCTCTTGCACAGGATCCTGAGACTTTCCTCATCCATGTGGACAATGCAGCCCCTTGGGTTGGATCAGTGCAATGCTTTGCGCTGCAAGCTCCTTCTCCTGATTCACCTCCTATGCCCACAAACCTCCTCTGTTCCTCCCAGGCTGCGCTTGGCACATTGACTGCCAAGGCTGAAGTGATACATAAACAGGGGCCACCTTGTCGAGGAAGCAGATGGAAGCCAAAGGGACCCGCTGGTGCACCTATCAGCAGATCCCACCCAGCTGTTCCTTCCAGGCTGACAGCTCTGCCACGCTGCTGCAACGGAAGAGCGGCTTCACTGGCGGGGCCTGGCAAGTGGGGCTCGGCTGGAGACGGCTGCCCAGAATCTGCCTCCAGGCGGGGCGGAGAGCCAAGGCAGCTGGCCAAGTTCCCTGCCAGGGAACAATAGGCTGGAAAGGCAGGCGGGGAGTGCGAGGCATCAGAGGGAAGCTGTCGACTTCTTTCCACAGGACGAGGATGTCCCTCGACCTTCTCTGGGGTCACAGCCAGGGGAAGGCCAGCCCAGGAGGGTCAAGGAGAGAAAAGCATTGGCGGCCTGGAGGAAAGGTGCCAGAGATCCTGTTTCCACAAAGACCTGGAGACCTCCCAGCCCCATTCAGCCAAGATGCAAATAGCCTCCTCGTGTGGTAAAAGAAAAGGGCTTCATTTTTATTTTTATTCTTTTTTAAATGCCTTTTACATTACAGTGGTACCTCTGGTTGCGAACGGGATCCATTCCGGAGGCCCATTCGCAACATGAGCAGAACACAGCCCGTGTCTGCGCGGGTCGCGATTTGCCGCTTCTGCGCATGCGCATGACGTCATTTTGTGCATCTGCGCATGCGCAAGTGGCGAAACCCGGAAGTAACCCTTTCTGGTACTTCTGGGTCACTGCGGGACGCAACCTGAAAATGCGCAACCTGAAGCAAGCGTAACATGAGGTATGACTGTATTTTTTTTGCTATGGTGTCACTAGGGCAAGATGACTGAGGTACCTACCCAGGGCGTAATGTGCAATTGCTGAGTGCTGAAAGAGTCAGGGCAGATTAAAAAAAGCATTTCTTCACAGGGCACATTGTTCAACTATGGAACTCACTCCCACAGGAAGTAGTGATGACCACCAATCTAGATGGCTTTAAGAGGGTTAGACAAATTCATGGAGGAGAGCGCTATCAATGGTTCTTAGCCAGCTATGTTCTGTTCCAAAGCTGGAGGCACTAATACTTCTGAATACCAATTGTTGGGAACCACAGGAGAGGAGAGTGCTGGACTAGATGGGCCTGATCCAGCAGGCTCTTTTTCTTAGTGAGAGCAGCATGGTGCACAGAGCACAGCACCCACCTGGCTCCTCAGTGGCCCTGTGTTCGCAGTCTGTCACTCAAAGCACATCCATACATGCAGTGTATTAGTGGCGGAGGAACAGAAAATTGGAGTTACGTGGTTGTTGTGGTATGTGAGTGCTAAACAATGGCTTCTTAACAGGAGCAGTCTATCCGAGAAGTGAAGACTTGGCATTTCAGCAGCTGCATCCTCAAATCTCTGCAACCATTCTTAACTTGTTCCAGAGCTGGTCATGTTCAGGAGGAAAGGAGCAGGAGATTGCGAGCATAGAGAGAGCATTGATGAAACTCATTACAGCCCCGGCTGCTTGTTGACCTTCCGTAAACATTCTAGATAGTGATCTGCTTTGCGGGAAGGAACCTATTCACTTTGTCCTTTTGCAAAGCACTTAGTATATATTTAGCCTTTTAAAAAGGAAAATAATGAGTAAGAATTCTTTTCTAAGGGACTAAACTGAAATATTTCAGTGATGTTATCAATATTTGTCAAAAATACAAGCAACAGCAACACCCACCCACTAACAATGATTCCTCTTTGCCATAAGATGTGTTGGGGTTAGAAACTGGGGAAAGGTCTTCAATTATCAGGCAAGCAAAATTCTGCAACAGCAACCAATAGCATAAAACTGGCTCACTTCATCTTTTATGCCTGCTACCCTAGGGCAATACCAGAAAGAGAAAATATCAGAGGCTGCTAAGGATGGGGGAGGGTTTCAATCAAATTCACATTTAAAGGCAAACCTAACAAATTGGCACTTGACGAAACAATGCACAACCCAAACACAGCCAGCCTTTGAAATTTGTACTTCTCCAAGTTTTGCAGTGCTCTTTCCCCAGCCGAGTAATGTGCACAAAACACATCTACCAGGGTAAAGTGTGCAGGTATTATTGAAGTTAACATGCAACATTACATTATATTTGGGGAAATGGGCAAAAACTGCTTTGCAAAGATGTGTACATTACACAAAATCACATATAAAAAATGGTGAATATTAGGAGAAAATTGCAATAAAATGCTTCAGAAATGTGGAGGGATGAGTTTAAGATGGGGGGGGGGGGAGAAACCAAGAGGACTGAAACTGACAGATCTGTCCCTCTCTAATGGCTGCAGCAGCAAAAGTGCTTTCCTTCATATAGCACATAGCTAAATTATGGAACTTACTCCCAACAGGAGATAGTGATAGCCACTGTCTTGGCTGGCTTTAAAGACAATTAGACAAATTCATGGAGGATAAGATTATCAGTGGCTACTGGCAAATATGTCTATGCTCTCTGTTTCTATGATCAGAGGCAGCATGCTCCTAAATACCAGTTAGTGGAAATCATGAACAAGACTGCTCTTGTGCTCAGGTCCTGGTTGTTGGTTTCCCACAGGCATCTGGTTGGCCACTATGAGCAGATATAGGAACACAGGAGCAGGGGCAGCCCAGCCTGAAGCGAATGGGAAGCTGCCACTGCTACTGCCTCTCTGCTGCTGAAACCTTCCTAATCTGGGTTGCATGGTGGCACCCGCAAAGTAGTAACAATGGCAGTTTCTGGCAAGATATTGCCAGAAGCCTCTGCTTCTTTCCTGCCAGCAGTGGGGCTCCTTCAGGGGTGCTGCCTCTTGGAGTTCTGCCACCTGAGGCAGCTGCCTCAGCTTACCCAATGGGCGGGCTGGCTTTGAATAGAAAGATGCCTTTGCCTTGCTATATTGTCTCTGCAATGCCTGTGGTTTTCAAGTGGGGTTTTCCCCAGCCATACCTGGAGATGCAAGGCTCTGAACCCGGGACCTTTTTCACCTGCAAAGCACCTACGCTCTACCACTCAGCCACAGCCCTTCCCCTCTCTTTGAACTGGGATGTTTCTGGGTCAGCTCCAGCTCCTTGTCTGTTCCTCTCCACTGGCAAATCCTTGCAGGGAGACGAGCACGTGGGTCCGGGTTGCAATTGTGAGAGAGAATGAAGTTTGCAAAAGCTTTAATTGAAGTGCTGGCTGCTGTTAATTATATTAAAGAGTGAGAGAGCGAGAGCAATGGGCTTTTTATTAGCTAATAAGGATTTCCATTTTTCCGCCCTTTGATGTTTTAGAAGGCTAATGGCTGCTAAATTAAAACGGTTTGGTTTTCTTTCTCTCTTCTTCTCTCACTCCCCCCCCCCCAGCTTCCTTGGTTAAGAGCTTGTGAAGGCAGTCACCTGGGTTGAAGCTGTGGGGCTGAAAAGTGGGGGGGAGAGAAGCTTAGGGAACTGAGCAGGGAATTGATTTTGTATAATGAAGTGATTTTACCCTTTTAGCATCTCTGGTGTGCTCAGCAGCAAAGTCTCTCCCCGCCCCCCGCCCCCCAGCCAAAGCCTGCGCTTGTGCATAAAGAAAATGTATAGTAACTGTGCCATTAAAACCATTATTCAGCTGAAAAGGTTGCCTCTCCTCCTCCCAGGACACTGCGCTGTGGTTTATAGGGCAACGCATTAGGCCCCAGGGACCTGGGCTGAGGGGCATTTACTCCCATCGTCCTGAGCATTCTCCAGGCACCACCAAGCCCAGGAGGAGACCAAGGCTGGTGCCTGACCTTTCTTCCAGAATGGACTTTGTCAAGCTGATCAGAAGGCAAATGAAGCTGATGGGGGAGAAAGGAGGAGTGGGGAAGGGAGGCGGGGAAAGGCCACTTTGCCATTTTGTGTTATGTAAAAGGACTGCAGGAGAAAATGCAAAAGATGGATTAATGGGCACCTCTGTGGTTAAAGAACAGACTAGGAATGAATGAGCAGCAGGAGCGCCAACTAAAGGCGCTTGTTGTGGGTGCTCAGCCCCCACACCGCAGGGCCCCTGATGCAACTTCCGAGGTCTCACAAGGCCTCGGACGGCATCTCTGAGGCCTCACAAGGCCTCCTGTCTTGCAGTTATTTATATTTGAAGCAGACTTGGATGGACAGCCTTTCCAACAGAAGTTAATTTCCAATAGAGGACCGCACACTGTAAAGTAGGGCACAGCCACACTAAGGTTGGACTATTGCTGAGGCGGGGAACCTTTTTGGCCCAGCAGGCCAGATCTTTATCTCCTCACCTTGCGGGCCAAAAAGGGCAGGTAGGTGGCTCCACCCCTGCCAGTCACCTGACACCAGAGGCGGCTCACCTTTCTTGGCCTGCCCCAGTCACCCTTTGCCACATGCCAGGGGTGAGTGTGCCTCCTCCGCACTCTTATATGTGCAAACACACACATAGGCACACAGCTCCCCTCCTCAGCTGATTTGTCTAGAGGGCTGTGTATGTGCTGGGCAGAGACACTTATCAGGCCTTCTTTGTTCATCAATCCAATGACCAGGGAAAGGGTAATTTGCAATCCCCACCAGAGTGCGTAGTAGAGAGATGTAAACCTCTCCACTCACCCCAGAGCTGTGTCTAAGTGTTTTCCACCCCTTTCCCCTGCAGCCAAAATGAGTGTTTTGGATGTGGAAAGAATGCTCCTTTGAGGCCTGGATCAGTCTCCTAGGATAGAGATTAGGTAAAAGTAAAGGGACCCCTGACCATTAGGTCCAGTTGCGGACGACTCTGGGGCTGTGGCGCTCATCTCACTTTATTGGCCGAGGGAGCTGGCGTACAGCTTCCGGGTCATGTGACCAGCATGACTAAGCCGCTTCTGGCGAACCAGAGCAGCGCACGGAAATGCCATTTACCTTCCCGCCAGAGCGGTACCTATTTATCTACTTGCACTTTGACGTGCTTTCGAACTGCTAGGTTGGCAGGAGCAGGGACCGAGCAACGGGAGCTTACCCCGTTGCGGCGATTCGAACCGCCAACCTTCTGATCGGCAAGTCCTAGGCTCTGTGGTTTAACCCACAGCGCCACCCACGTCCCATTTAGGATAGAGATTAGTCTATGCAAAAAGCAGCTTCCTGTGTTCTTAGCACCTGCGGACGGGCCCTCCCTGCGCTTGCCACAGAAGCCCTCTGAGTCACCCACCTGTAAAGAACCAGCAGTCAAATAGATCTCCAGCACTTTCTCCTTCAAAGGTGGCTGTGAACTTTGGAGAAGGGGGGGCGGCAGAAGCAGCGAAACAGGGGCCCAGCGCTCAACTCTGCCCAATCTCAAAGAGAAACCAAGCTGGGGAAAGCGGTTGACAGGATAATTCTCTCTCTCTCTCTTAAAAAAAAAACAAACCCTTCTCATCCTTTTCTTTGTGCCTGCAATGTGGGGAAAAAAATTGCAAGGAGTGGGAGGGAAGGAGGCAGAGAAACCTTAGCTATCAATGGCCCTGCCTTGATGGGAATAAAATATGCACTGAAAGACATTAAAATGGAGTAAATAAAAGAGATAAAAATGGAACGATCAAGCCGGGAACTTCTTCTCCTCTGATTAAAAAGAGAGGGGAGGTGGAGGGGGGGGCTGATGGAGGAGGGGGTGCTCCAGCCCTTGAAGAGGCAGGCTGCTGCAAGAACAGGAGACTGATAAAGGGTCTGCGGCTGCCTGTTTGTGAGAGATAAAGCCTGAGTCCCAGCACTTGCTGTCCTCAATCCAAGTCTTACCATCAATGTTAATACAGCCTGACAAACTGGCATTTAAGATAGAATAAATATAGGCTGGTTCTGCTATTACCTAGACCTTATTAATCTGCTTGCAGGCATTTAAATGGCGTTAAAAATATGGAGTTTACTACTCAGTGCTTCAATAGCTCTCCAATTCATCACATTTCTCTCTCTTTCTCTGCTCCCTTCCCCCGCCCGCCCCCATCCCTTGAGCTATTGTTTCCAAGTCCCAGGTGACCTGTATTTTTTCCCTTTTAAAGCAAACTTTCTGATAGGATGGGAAGGCAAAGGCACTTCTGTGGCTGTGGGTGGGGCAGTGTGGGGAGGGAAGACAGGTGGGAGCTGGTATGCAGTGGCATCTGAGAAGCACATTGGGTGCCCTGACCCAGCAGGGAGGCTGCTGTAACTGGCTGGAGGCTGCAGAAGAGTGGAGTTGCTAGAACTTTGGGGACAGGGCCGTAGCTCAGTGGCAGAGGAGCTGCTTTGCATGCAGAAGGTCCCAAGTTCAATCCCCAGCCTCTCCATGTAGGGCTGGGAAAGATTGCTGCCTGAAATCCCGAAAAGGCAACCAGTGTGGGCAATGCTGAGCTAGGCAGACCCAGCGGTCTGACTTGGGTATTCATTTTTTATTTATTGCATTTATATCCTACCTTTCCTCCAAGGAACTGCACCAGATTGATTACATGGCTCTTCCTCTCTCCCATTTTATCCCCACAATGACCCTGTGAGGTAGGTTAGGCTGAGAGACATTGACTGGCCCAAGGTCAACCAGTGAGCTTTGTGCCTGTGTGGGGATTCAAACCCCTGTCTCCCAGGTTCTCCCAGTCCAGCACTCTAACCTCTACACCACACTGGCTCTCTGTAAGGCACCTTTGCATGTTCCCTATATTGCCTTTGCGTAGTTCAGTGGAAAAGCACCTGCTTTTCATGCTGAGCAGATTTATTGTGGCACAAGCTTTCATGGACAACCTGATGGAGCAGATTCCAGTCCGCAAAAACTTATGCTGCAATGAATGCTCATTTTAAGGTGCAACTTGTTTGTTTTGTTTTGTTATTTTTCTTTATAATCAGGAGTCCCTCGGTGGGCAGAGGACTGAATGCCTGTGGTTTCAAATATGAAAGCTGCCCCTGTTCCCTAAACAGCACTCTTAGAGATGCACCCAATTTCTCCATGCTGCAAATTTGCTGGCACAAAAGCTCAAATCTTCTGATTTTCAGTGGCAATTTTTTTGGGGGGGGCGGTTTCCTGATCCCTCTGACTGCGCAGCTCTTCCGCAACCCACCTCTGCTCAGAAGAGCCTCCTCAGGCCTATGCCTGCTTCTCCCACCAGCCATTAACAACCCTAATGATTTCCCTCCACTGAACTGAGCTGCTTAAATAGCAGCTTTAATTGCCCCCTTTGATGTATCTCTCCCATCCAGGCTTTACTTTATAAGAAAGACGTACAGTCATTAAGAGAAGCTCTTAGCAGAATCAACTATTAATGAGCCAACCAGGCCAAGGCGTGACGATTCCCCAATTCTCTCGCCTGCTGGAATAACGTGAGACTCCCTAAGGATGCTGCCTTGCCATATCCAGGGGAGCTGCTGCCTCTCCCACCAGAGAAACTGCAGAGAATGGCACCAGATTGATTACAGGCTGGCAGCCTTGAATGCCATCAGCAGCCTATGTGCTAACTCCAGTGTCATGGGGCAGCAATGGCTCTGAATGCCAGTTTCTGGGAACTGCAAGTGGGGAGAGCACTCTTGTGCTTTTGGTGCTCCTTATGGGCATCCTAGAGGCATCTGGCTGATCACTGTCAGAACAGGATGCTGGGCAATGTCCTGCCGGATTGGTCCACTGTGGGTCCATTGGATCTAACATCTTGTTTCCCAAATCATGGTGGATAAAGCTATGGTCTATCTCTGAATGCCAGCTGCTGGGAATGACAGCTGGGGAGGCTAGTGTTGCATTCAGGTCCTGCTTGTGGTCTCCCTCATTCCCTGAAGCATCCAAAAGAACCCTTTCTAGATACCTGAGGCTGGCAGGAAATCCCACAACTGTGCCTCTCCTGCCCTGATGGTAAAAAGACAGTAATGATGAATTAAATCAGGGATGATGTCAGGGAATCAGCCCACAATAAATCACATGGAGTACATGACATTAACTCTTTATTAGCAGAAACCAGCCCAGCTCAATGGAGTTAGGTGTAATGAGCACAGCAACTCTTCTTGGTAGGTCTTGCCCCCATGAGGTAGTTGTGGAGGCTGAAGATCCCTGCCTTCCCACAGCTGCCTAAATCTCATCCTCCCCCAGGTCTTTGTCAAGCAATCTGAGATTCCTGCCTCTGCTTCCCCCTCTTCATACCTCTTCTGGTCCTCAGCGACCAGGGGTCAGGGGAGCTTGTTGCAGTAGGATAAGTAGACACCCTGGCTTCTTCACCAGCCTGACCCATCTCTGCTTCTTGGCCTCCCTCCTCTTGCTTCAGTTTCTGACTCTGATTCTGGACTTTCCTCTTCCACAGACTCCCTGCTCACTAAACCCTGTTACCTCTTCAGCTTCTGACACCTCCTCCTCCCAGGCTTCTCCCTCTGACCACTCATTGTCGTTCCACCACCAATCCCCAGACTGTGAGCCTTCTTCCCTTAGGAGTTCCCCAGCTGCTGCCTCCCACCATTCCTCTGTGTCCAGCCAGTCCATGACAAGGGTTGTCATATTTCGAAAAGTAAAAACCAGGACACTCCAAAAGTATTTTTTTAGGAAGAGCCCAAAATTATTGAGCTTTTTTTTAAAAAAACCACCAAAATTGATTGAATTGACTTGCCTAAGATCCAGGTCAAAGCGCCATCTTTCAGAAATTCCTCCCGGACACCACGTCAATTCTGCCTTTGAAATCACAATAATGTCTGGGAAAATCTGGACATATGGCAACCCTATCCATGACAGATGAGAAACATTAGGACCTACAAGGCTCTCTTTGGCCTCAGACTCATGTCCTTTTGGCTCTGCTTTGTACCTTCCTTAATGCCTGGCTGGAAAGCGTCCTTGATCTCTGATAACGCCTCTTGTTTCCCTGGGTGGAGGAAAGAAAAGGGTGAGGGTGTGTGTAGGAACTAACTTACTGTACGAAAGTAAAAATTACATTTATTGCTCCACCCACTTTTGCTTCAGGCCCCGCCCATCACTGGCCTATGCCTCCTTCCAAAGGGAATGTGGCCCTCAGACTGAAAAAGGTTCTCCACACCTGAATGAAATCGTGCCCTTTCATGATACACAGAAACTGCTGCCTGAGATGGACAGCTTGTTTTGCCCAATAGCAGGGCCAGCCCTAGCTAGGCCCAATGAGCAGGAGAGAATGGTGAGCTTTGGGGCCGGTGAGGGAGAAGAGGTCTGTGTGAGCGAGGCAGGCAAAGGGAAACCCCAGAAATGGGGGAGAAAGCCCTCTTGGGAATCAGGCCAAACTGAGAGCTCCAAGGAATGAGGGAAGGTGCCAACAAAATGTATGGAGGACAGAGGGGGAGGGTGCATGAGCGAGCAGAAAAAGGTGAGGATCTGAATGAGCTGTTCTCATTAGACATCTATTACTCATCACAAGCTTCTGTTACCTGCCATCTGCTCCTCACTGCAAAGGCAGGCAGGCACCGCCAGCAGAATATTGAGGCTCAGAGTCGCCCTGCTCTTGCCAGCATGAGTGGGTTGCTCTGGAGTGAGCAGTGGTGAAAGCTCTGGGCCTTTTCCAGCCCAGGGCCACATTCCCTTCTGGGCAAACTTCTAAGGGCCACATGCCAGTCGTGGGTGGGGCCAGAGGCAAAAGTGGACAGAGCAGACTTTCCCGTCATTAGAGCAAGGTTCGCTGGAATGGAGAAATGAGCTGGTCAGGGCTTGGATTTGCTGGCCAGCCCTGTAGAGTCTCTAGCATAAGGTCATGCAAAGTTCACCCCAAGAACACCCAGCCAGCACTGAGCCCTTGAAACTCAGCCTATTTTGGTGACCAGGAGCCCATTCCCTTTTCCCCATCACTGATAAAAAGCAACTTTATACCTTACAAGTATGGACATAAGATGAGACTGCTGGATCAGACTATTGGGTCAAGGTAGACTGCCCTTGAACATGGAAGAGGTCCCATATAGCTGTCATGACAGATAGCTATTGATGGAGCTTGTAATATCCCTTTTTTCCAGCACAGGAGGCCCCATTGCTGATGACCTTTTGCAACAGCTGGGTGCTCCCCACAATGTGTAATTCTACCTGGCCAAGGAATTAACAACCACAGGAAACATAAAAGGGCAGCACATTAGCTGGGGATGCTCAATTCCTGTTTGAACCAAACAGGTGAGCCCATGGCTCTCAGTAATAGGCTTGGATTCACATATCAAGGGGCCAGGGGTGAGCCCATCTCTTTCCTTGCACTGCACTGGTGTGGGCCAATGCACAGGTTGCCAAAGAGAAACTGGTTTCCACTTGGGGCAGATGGCAGGAAAGTAACTTCTGACCTCTGATGAGGCTGCCTGCTGTGAATTCAGAGAGCTGTCCTCTTGGACGAGAGAGAGTGAATTGGATGGTCTCAGCCTAGTCCCTAGTGGAGATCTGACCAAATGACAGGATGGACACATTTCACAGGCACCTGTGGTGAGTAGCGAGGGAGGAGGAATTTAATTCAGTTTTCTTTTAATGGCGAACCTACCTAATTCACGCTTTCTGAAACAAGAAGTAAACTGAAGCACAGCCAAGGTTCAAAATTCACACATCTCTGAATTTTGCAATGTAGTTCTCCAGTCAAGTAAATGCACAGAGGAGAGTAAAATATGCATATATTTGTGTAAGTGGCATACAAAAATGCATTGTATTAGGGGAGTTTGCTTTGCAAAAAATGTGCATATAGAGGATAATATAAATGTGTTTATTAGGAGAAATTCGCACTCCGATGCTGATGAATCTTCATGACATTTTTTAAAAAAAACAACAACTAAAAATAAATGAAACACAAACTGATGTGGAAATGCAGATAACTGAACTTCAAGGTAAAGGGACCCCTGACCATTAGGTCCACTTAAGACCACTAATAATGAAACATGTAGATATTTTTCCACATTTATTATGCTATTTTTGTGATACACAAATGACATGAAAAAACTTGGTATACTTGTTTGTATAACATTATTCTTGTTTATAAAACCCAATAAAAAAATTTAAAAGATCGGAAAGTGAGAGCAGCTGAACTTGAATGATTCACCTATCCACAGTGAAGAGACAAGCCTACAGTTGTGGATATGGGCTGGGTAGGGAGGGAAATGAGTCATACATAGTGATGTGAAGAAGGATGGGGCAGTTGTAGCTGCTGGTCATTTGTGTCACCTGTTCATGCTGGGGATGGGATAGTGGAAGGCCCATGAGCCAAATTATTAGGGACATCACACAAAATCCACCTTTCTTATATGTTTGAAATGTCCCGGGCTACTCTCTCCCGAGGGCACACTGGGTTAGGGCATCACAGTCACTACAAGTGGGACTTGCAAAAAAATAATAATAATTGTGGAGTGCTCC